GCACTATATAGAACTGAAGTTACAGAGTACTCCTTGAGAGAAAATTGATTCCCTTTGATCTATAAAGAAGTCATCTTGTCACTCTCCAAATGAACCATTTAGAAATCTCCCCCTGCTGTTGATTTGTATGGGTATTCTGATTTCACAACATATATGAGACCCATTATATTAAATAAAGAAACCTGTGTTTTAATAGCAAAGTATAAATTAAAAAGTTATGAATTATTTGCCTTGAACTGATGACAGCACATTTATACTCTCAGTTTCTTCTAATAGGCTTTTATTTTTCCTAAAGTCCATAAATATTGCTTTAATTTATTATACCCAAGATCTTTAAGTGGAGACAAACACTAAACACCTTCTATTTGATAAGTTCTAATGATATATAGATAATACAGATTCAATTCTTCATCTACCATCTATCTATACAACACAGAAACCTCTGTAGAGCTATCCTTTTGAACATACATTTAAAAATTTCCCCAATGTGGTATTTATTATAAATTAGAAGGTCTTAAAAATACCAAATATTTCCCAAAAAGCAAATATTTCATTGTAACATTTTAGAATTAAATGTTACCATTTAAAATGCCTGAAGATATTTACTTAGATTTCTTTATCAAAATATATTAATAACATTTCATTTTAACAACAGAAAATAATGAAAGTCATAGTTGGCATAATACTTATAAGACTTGATGTTTTCACCTAATAAAATTGTAGGTACATTTTTCCATTCCATCTTTCCCTCCCCCACAGGAAATGATTCCATGCCAAATCCCTTAAATTCCTCTTTTGAAGTTTAAAATTAATTCCCATGGTTGCTCTTCTATAATCCCCCATCTTTTAAAAAATGCAAAATATGCTTATACTTTTTGAGAAATCAGATGAAATCCCAAATATCCTATATGAGTATGTGCTATGCTTTTAAAAAGTAAGCCCACATGCTCATTCTCAAAAGCTCATTCATCAAGGAGTCTAATTCTGTAATTAATACGAACAAGGTAACAATTTGCTTTAAGTGTCCACTCATAATGTTAAATCAATGTTAAATTATAAAGAACTTCCATGGAAATACATAAGACACACACACTGATTCTAAATGAAATTCATTATGAGCAGCTCTATTATACTGAATAGCAAATGAATTCTTAATAATGAGGCACTTGATGTGTAATCCAGAACTGGGGTTGACAAGAAAGCCACTTAGCTTCACTTTCTAATAATATTACAGCAAGTAACTGATACGGCACATATATTTTTCAATTTGGAAGGAAAACTTGAAAGAAAATTATGTTTTACCAAACCTTTTTAATACAGCCTGTTTCCTTCACAGACTTGTCAAGGGTTCTGTTCTCTTTTATAAGCTCATCTTGCCCTCACCATCAGAAGTCCATAACAACAGATGCTAGAATAATTAAAAACCTATCACTATAGACTCTTCCATCACATCACAGACTAGGAAAATGAAGGCGGTTTATGGGTGTCCTTGTCTCACTTTATCCACCCCTTTGTGGTTGATGTGTAGGCTTTAATGTGCATCCTTGCACCTCTCCTCCGGCAGGAAGCCTGTCTCTGGGGATCACTTGCAGAAAATAGGACACTGAGTCCATAATTAAAGTAATCTCTTTCCAGGCAGATGCCGCAGTTGGCTCTGTTATCACATATTACAAAAGGCATCTTGAGGGCTATAAAATGTGCAGCAAATAGCTTTGGAGATGAGAAACAGCAATTTTTCATCTAATTTTGATCCATAGACATGTAAGCACTGTATTGCTACTTTTTGGTTTTGAGCCAAATAACTATTATGGTGTTAAGATGAGCCGGGCAGTAACCAAAATTAAAGAATACTTTAGCTTTTATCCTCAAAGTGAGAAAAGCTCTTTTGTAACCATCTTTGCACTTAGCAAATAAGGATGCCATCTCAAATATGAGCATTAATGCCTGCAGGCGGATTTAGAAGAAAGGCTTATGTAGCTTAGCTTTACAGCCTTACTTTCAATATATTTGCTTAAGTTAAAACCAGAGGTTGATTAAGGGACCTACCATCTTGGCTCCTTTGCAACCACAGCGAACATTTTTAATTAGAAGCATTTCTACTGTTTATCATTTGTATAATATTTTTGGACATTGCTCTTTTGAAATATATGTCAGCCCAGATAACTAATAAGCTCATATTATTCCTAATCCCTTCTCTAAATACTAATAGTGGGAACAAATGGAGAACATTTGACAAACACAAGTCCAGCTTAGGACTTGTCAATGTGGGTAACCAAACCTGACCTCAATATTGTGAAGTGCTAAAATGGAAGAGGAAATAATTTTAATATTTATTTCTCAGTGCTATTAAATAAGACAACTTTTGAAAATGCAGTGATGTAATGTTAAAAAGGTTACCTTAAAATTCCAGAAAATATGTGGTTTAAATTTATTTCCTGAAACTGCATTTATTTAAAAAAATTTTAACAGCAAAGTTTTACATGAACTTAAGCCTTTCAATTAAAAAAATACTATCGATAATATTAAACTTTATATTTTATGTTAGTCTAAATAACATTCAGAAACAGGAGATATCTTATTTAGCTTAATTAACAATAGAAATATTGTATTCCACATGTTTAAGATGTCAGAATTATTATTTAGAAGGATTTACATATCACTTGAATTATTAGAGAAAAATTAATTGCAAATCAGAATTTTAAGTTATTGATAAAGTTTTGTTAAATGACCAAATTGTTATTTCCAGAATGCCTAAAATGTTATAATATAAAGCCAGCCATCATCAGTGCAATATCTGGAGGTTTAAATAGCAGAATATAAGTCCTAATTCTCTAATACAGTCTTGGTACATTTGTGCATTCTTGCAATTTTTCATTTATGTATGCATGCATTCATTCATCCATTCAAGAAATAATTTTTTTGAGGTTTAATATATTTTTATTAGCATATAATGTATTATTTGTTTCAGGGGTACAGGTAAGAAATAATTTTTAAAGAATTTTTGTCCAAATAATTTTATAATACTATTGCATTTGAAATATTAGAAAATACATGGGGCGCCTGGGTGGCTCAGTCGGTAAAGCATCTGCCTTCGGCTCAGGTCATGATCCCAGGGTCCTGGGATCGAGCCCCACATCGGGCTCCCTGCTCGGC